TGCGGTGTTACCAATTCGGTGGAGAGACAGTCAGACGCCGTCACGCTTAGACTGAGTATTTACAAATGAGAAATCCCTAGTTGACAATCTCAGTCTTGGTTCCCCTGAGAAAAGTATCTACGCCGTTATAGCCTTCAACTTTGTCAGCAAAACTAAGCTAAAACATCCTAATAACAACAGCCATCGGAATTTTAGACGTTTGGGTCCATCGGCTTTACAGGACAACCTACAGTAGGTGGACTGGAAAGTCCACCCTCAACTTGACGCAAGCGCCTACTGTGACTTATGCTGAACACGACCTTACGTGCTACAAACCAGTCTGTCTCGCAAACGGTCCCCAAAAATTACAAGCAACATACAGTCATAAAGAATCACACTATTCTAATGCTAAGACTAAAAAAATACTACTGGGTGAAATACAAAAGACGACAGCACATGTAGGCACTTCAAACAAGCAAAAACCAATGCATAAAGGTAGTAAGACAAGAAAGGCTCCAGTACCAGACAAAGTTAGTCGATGGAATTGTCTCCAATCTGAAAAGCTTGTTCCATCTTGCAGCCTCTCTTTGACGAGCCGAAACCAGAGTTTCTTAGTTGTTTGGTCTTATTGGCTCAACCAACATTGATAGTGATGCTGCCGATCTTCTGGCAGGACAGTATTTTCAGACATTTCAACCGTCACATACAAATTATATGAGCAAGAGCTTTACCTGCAACTCAACAGCACTTTTAGAAGTGAATCATGAGTGCTGACTCAATATATCAGAAACTCCAGTACCTAAACGAGAATATTTCTGGTCGGGATATGGTCCACTCTGCCATACTGGAAGAAACGATTTCAATCTTGGCAAAACCGCTTAATGTGAAATTCTCATCTTTGCTAGACAGAGGCACGGGCCCAGAAAATTGGATGCTAACGCACATCTCACCGATTTTCAAAGGAAGCCGACGGAGTGAACCTTCAAGTCACCGGCCGGTGGCACTTCTCTCAATACCCTCAAAAGTTATGGAGTCCATGATATACGATGTCCCATATGACTACTTACTATCCATAAACGTTTCACCCTAACAGTATGGGTCACTCTTGCATAACCAGCCTACTGACCGTGGTAGACAGATGGACAACCATCCTTGGTTGATGTCGTATACCTTGACTTCGCAAAAGCTTTTGTCAGGGTCAATCATATACGTCGCATCAATAAGCTTGAGCTGTTAGGCATCAAGTCAGCGTTAAGAGAGTGGCTTAATTTATATCCAAATGATTGACATTTTAGGGTCGGCGTAAACTTCACTTTTTCCCAGGCTACAGAATGTCTTAGTGCGGCCCCACAAGTTCACTGCTAGGAACTCTTCTTTCCTTACTTCATATAAATGACCTTCCTCAGCAAGTGTCATTTGGTTTATTACTTTTCGCTGACGATTTGAAATTCTGAAGACACGTTTGCATCCGAGCTGTCACTTCAGTAGGATCTGACTCGACTCAAAGATGGGCGTATAACAACGGACTTACTTTCAACACTTCGAAGTGTAAAGTAGTCCATCTAAGACATGTTGTAGACTATGCATACAACTTAGGTAACCTTACAGAGGTATCCCAAGTTGGAAAATATCTAGGTGTTGATACCGTAGGATCTAAAGTTTTATTCTAACTGCAACAAAACTACTTTTCGAACAAACCTTGTACTGGTAACGTCGTGGCACGTTTTTGGCCAGTTCGACGGTAGAACATTCCACTTAATCCTCAACAGCCTAATTCGACCCCTGGTGAAGTACGGAAACAGTATTTCCGCCCTCACTCCAAAAGGATAAGAATACTCTGGAATGTATCCCAAAGCGAGCCACAAAGTCGATTCGGAGACTCAAATCCAAACCTTATGAAGAGCGCCTCAAATCACTGAATTTTTACCCATTGGAATATAGACGTCTCAGAAGTAACCTAGTGACTTATGCCATTCTAAACTCTTGGGGTCCCCTTAAATACATATTTAAGCTTAGTCCCAACACATGCCTTAGGTTAACACCCAGAAATTAGAGACGAAATATAGCAGAATGGACTGTAGGCACACATTTTACATTTCACGAGCAGTTAAATTCCTGAGTTAGCTCTCGGCTGAGGTGATTCAAGACACTTCTCAGGAGTACTCAAAGTGAAAACTTGGCATATTCTTAAGGACTCAGGACACCATTTCTCTTATCGTTAAATATACCTAGGTTCCTGTCTGGAAACATCGGCGATTCACTACTACGAGATACGGAAGCCCGTTAAGCGAAAGCTTCTGCTCGAATGCAGACTTTACGATAAGTGATATTAAAATGTGCGCAAGTCTTACATCTTTTGTTTATTAGTGATGTTGCAAACAATTCGGACACTAGTCACGTAGATTCTTTCCCCTCTCTTGGCATCCTCCCAACTAGGGTAGATTAGGGAACCTTTACGTAGTAAAAGGACGTAAAAATTTATTCATTTCTATAAAGCAAATAATTTGAAGCAAATATTGAGAAACTACGAATCGTTCTAGAGCTATAGTATCTGAAACGAGGTTTTAATACGAAAGCGGCTACTTAATAACTCCCAGTATCTCAAAAACTCCTACAACAATCAACGCCAAAGCATTACATCAGTCTGGCTTCAAGAATGACTGTAAAACCAGATAAGCATGCTACTCAGGCCTTTTTCCTGAATAAATTCCAGCCGAATGTCTTTAGGCATGCACCTTTTCTGTATGGATTTCTCACTACGGGTGACAAAGTTTTCCGTTTAGTACTTGTGGACTGTTAAAAAGTGGACTATCATACACAGTACAGCTATCAAAGAGGGTTAAATGGACAACTTGATAGTTAGTACCAATAATCACTGGTCAAATTTTTGTTCAGTTTGGTGTAAATAGAGCATAGTGGTGATAATATACTTCAAATTCTCAGTAAGGGAGATGTTTCATTCAAGTTCAGTGTTTGTTCATTTACGAAGTCTTACCGAGTTAGAATGTAAACGTGTCAGTCAGTCAGCTACAACGTACGACCAGGCATATATATGCATCGGTCCAAGTTGCCATACCTCATTAACACAACAAGATGGACACCGGATTCATAAAAGTAGTTAATTCAGAGGTGGTAATATATAAAAGAAAGATTGCAATAAGGATATATTACAGGAAGAAAGAATTAGTTCGTAGAAAGAAAGATATGAAGCGATTTTAATCTCATAGTTTAAGGGAAGACAGAGAGTGTATACACCGACGCCATTGTGATCGATTCTGAGCCATGTCACCAAGAGTCTCCAACCATTGGTTACGATAGTCACGCGGACCCCAACCAAGTAGTCTGCATCTACCAACATGGCTCAGACTAGAAGTTAGTGACTCCAAGCACTGGTGCCACGTTTTGGTTTGGACGCCCGTAACTTTCTTCCAACCATCCCCAACACCGGTTAGCATTGCACGTCGTGGTAATCGGTGTTCCGGCATACGCGACACGTGGCCCACTCATCTCAGTCGGCGAAAATTCACAACCTGATCAACTGATTTACCGTCATCCCCTAATACCCTGCGTCTAACCTCACTATTACTTACCCGGTGATCCCAGCATGGCCATGTTTCGCTGCCGTAAATTAAAACAGAACGGACTGCCGCGCAGTATACTCGTCCTTTTATTTCGTCAGACACCAACCCATTAGGGCTGATCAGACTTCCAAGATAAGTGAAGTTGTCAACGCGTTCGACTACTTCACTCCCTATCCTTAGTTTAGGTGTTGACGCAGACCAGTCCTGAAGCAACAACTTGCATTTAGAGGGAGAGAAGCGCATTCCAAACATTCTGTCATTGTTGCTTAGTGCTACGAATCGTTGACTATGGTGACACTTGAGGAGGAAGCCGAAAAAGGAAGTTTAGAGGTGAGTCGATGTGGGAGGAATAATAGGAAGTGAAGACGGAGGTTGATTGTGAATACAGTGGTCTTGAGTGCTGTTAGACGTATGAGGGCGGTTATCACTTCCCGGTTGCCCACACCGTGGAAGGGTCGTTCTGGAGGTACCTGAAAAGGAAATTGGATTAAAGGTGGTCTTAGTGACCTGGGAGCGTGACCGCAGTGTCCAAGGGACAACTGCTTGTGGTTGGTCACACACGACCTTTTTATAGGTAATTTTTGTGTTAGCTCCGTACTTGTTGAGACCTTACCGCCGGAGACGGATATCCGTGGGATAAGACGAGGTGTGCGTCTTTAGGGTCGACCTTTTCTAACCCCACCCCTCCTTGTAGGAAGGCAGCATCGCTGTCATGCTGGTTGTCTGAAGGAAACACCTTACTGCTGTCACACCTCTGTACAGTCAGCAGTACGACTTCGGACCTTAGGTTTGTTGGTTTTAGTCTTACCGCTATTCAACCGACCTGTCTGACATGGTAGGACCTTGAGGAACGGTTGTTCCAGCCAGTATAGCTCGGTTGCTTCATCACGATGGGCAAGCCCGACCACCACGTCAAGGTAGCAAAAACGGAATGTAAACATACACCTGATCATAAAACCTAACGTATTTCAGACAGGATTTAGGATTGCGGATTCAAGCAGCTATTCTGTTTTGCTTACGGAACAAATATTTTAGTACGGGTTCGAAGGGTAAGAGCTGTAAAACTAAAAAATGGCTTTCTATCTTTAATTACGAGAAAACTCTTAAACATTCTAACCTCTTCCCATAGTCTTATCGTGGCTTTCCTGAATTTTGACTTATGATTCTTATATCAGTAGGTTTAATCGGTTTTTCCTGTTGAATAAATCATCTAAGAAAATATTCTCATATTATTTGTTGTTCATATAGGAGTGTGGATCGTAGAAGCTCTTCACGATAACTTGCAGTATTAGTATCTATCGTTGATGCCTTCAAAGTAAGGTTGAATATCCACGGCACTGGAGATCACAAGAATCCATAAACATCAACTTGTTTTCTGTTCGTATTTCCAAATGTTTCGAGCTTAATCAATCCCTAAAGTTCTACGCCCACCAAAAAACCATGTCGTGTGATGTTTGGCAACAGGTTCTGGCTTTGGACTCTCGCTATAGCGCTGTCAGGCCAATAACAAAATCAAGTACTGAATTAAGGCAACTTTATCTTCGAAGAAGGAATCAGTTAACAAGAGAAAAAGCCGCACTGAGTGTCAACGAGGCTTTCAGACATCCTAATTTATCTTGTAGTTTTCAATATGCAGCTGAAACCTCTGTCGCGTCTTTTGTTGCCTACAGAAACATTCGTGAGCAGCTATTACTTTCTCTTTACGGTCCAGCCAAACCTCACAGGTGCGCCTCACCTCAGTTAAGCTTAACTAAAACCAGGAGCTACGATGAGAGTACAAAACTGCCTTCCCTACTGAACTACTCCATGACTAAGTCTATATGTGTAAGTATTTTTATACTTGCTTTTTTCGTGGCCTAGCTGTAGCTATGTGATTTCAATTGCCGAATATGTGTAAATAGTATGCTCATTGCCATTTTTAAAGTTGTCGCTCTACTTTCAATCCCCGGATAGATTCATGAATTGTCCAGACTGAGATCCACTGTGCACCATGGCTGCTGCAGGACAAAAAAATAATTTCCCCTCGAACCTGTCCATTTACTTCCAGTTGAATTGCATATAAGATTGGTATTACATTTTAGTCCGTTTTGTGTATTGTTGGACTTATGGGTTTCGAACTAATTTCCTAACTTCACAAATTAGAAAAAGATGTCGGTTATTGGATTATTTATAGATATATGAGCCTCTGATTTTGTAACACGTTTGTTCGTAGATCGCTTCGCAAGTCTTAATTTTGTTATTCACCCCAATCAGCTATCATTTATCAAGCCGTTTGCTTAATATCGTCAAATTTTTCAGTTTTACCAAACCTCTAATGGCTTTTTTAATTGCTCTTATACCCGAATTTAGGATACATCTTCAGATTATCTTACACCCGGAAGACGGAAACTTTAGGCGAGAGTTATGCGTTTTCTGGTATTGAGCATATTTTTGACCACCATTCAGGTAAGTTTATTTAAAAAGTTAGATTTAGTATATCATGCCGCATCTAATTTGTGAAAGTATCAATATCTGCTCGTTCATAAGTAAAATGTATGACCTACTTTCGTAAGCTATTCTCGTTAACTTCTGTTTAAACAAAGCAAAAATGACCATATTTGCAGAATATGATAAATTTGTCATACATTGTTTCTTTCTATTTAAACGACATGCATGAAAATAAGGTAATTCATCTTTAATTAACGTAATATTGAAAAATGAGTTGTCGATCAACAACCAATAAGTCAAACATTCTAGCAGAATAGCATGAATTCGTTTTTATTTCGTTGGTTCTCGTCAGCTGCTTACAACCTGTGATATTTAAAATCATAATTAATGGGTTTAAATTACTTACATAAAAGAGTTTGATTGGAAGTTAGATTAAAGACATATTCACATAGTATAGCAAGGGTGTAAATAAATATCACAGGTTGTAAGCAGCTGACGAGAACCAACGAAATAAAAATGAATTCATGCTATTCTGCTAGAATGTTTGTTCTTGCTCTTTTCAAAATGATAAAGGGAACTATGTGTATGAAACCAATAAATCGTTTTGAATGTAAAACAAGTTAAGGTTTTCTAAAGGGTTTTTTGTAATTGCTTGGGGAAACTATCTTAATATTCTAAAGTTGTCACCTAAGGAATCATAAAAACTTTTAGGAATTCAAATTACGTACAACTTTTTCGTTATTGGTTGATAATTCATTCATCAACATGATGTTTATTGGAAACAACTGAACTTAACACCAGGAATGGAACTCATTACTTTTCACTTCCAGTGCCCAACACATTATCAGCTCACTGAGCCAGAGACTCGATAGCCATTAGCTTGTAAAACGAGTATGAGTTTCGGCTCCATCTGTAATGGTTTGGATTATTCCATTGTTGATCAGTAAACATATATCGCCTCTGATTAATAAGCAATGGTCTTCTCATGCAGTTCACCTCTACTGATTGTTTCTGGAACTGATTATACAGCACAGCAGTCAATATTATTTGGTCAAACATATTACAAGTCAGTCATCGTAGTCCCTCCAATTTATCTAGTTATATATATATATATATATATATATATATATATATATATATATATCTGTCACTGTAGTGAACGAGAACACCAGTGGGGACAGCCGAATGTATTTAAACACAAAATTACAGTCTCAGTAAAATCTGACAACTATACAGTAAATACTTTATTTGCAAAATGTTAATCAATTTTTTTCAGACTTGACCGTTCCTTCGTTTCCACGCTAATCATTCTCTGTTCTCGTTCTCTTCTTTTCGATCTTAATTTTCTGCCTCCAGGTATTTCAGTTTCGATTGATGATACATACTACTTATATATGTCGACATCAGTAGCACACATAACAGAACGGCCGTTGTTCGTGGTTTATTGAAGTCAACAACCTTTTAATTTTCAACATTTGGTTGTTTGTTAATAAACAAGTTAGACTGTTTCTGGTAGATTAGATGAGGTTATCTGAATACTTTTCAGCTAAGTAATTACTAAGCCCTTGTGTTCCAAAGAGCAACTTTTCGAACACTTTTCTTAAAAGAACCCTCAAACCAGTTAATATCTGCTAACGCACTACTGTTCTCAAATAAGCGCTTTTGGTTTTAAGACTAAGGATTATAGTAAGTGGGAGCGAGCCTGAATACGTGATTCAATTGTTGAGAGCCTAATAATTTAACTATGTATGGCCATGGGTTAATTACTAACACGAATTATTCTTTCACATTGGAAACTTACACTTGCGAAGATAAATCACAACCTACTCCGATTATATATTTTTATAATACAGACTAAAATTTATTTATATGTTAGTGATCCTAACTCCATTGTCTAGGAAATATTCTCATCAGCCCTACTATCTTGATTCTTATTCATTGCAGATGTGATGTAGCCGTAACAAACCATGATTACAGCCAGAGCACTGTGGTAAACGTCAAGATATTTTGACCCTCCTGTACTCTACTTTAAACAATTTGTTTTCTGGTTTGTCTTTCTTTTAGGCGCCGTAAATCGTTTGAGTTTTGCAAACCACGATTCAAGTCGTTTAGCTTTGGCTTCGTCTGATGGGACTGTATCCATCTGCCGTATCTCCCCAGCTAGTGGGGTTTTTTCCATTGCATGTGTTTTACCAGAATATCGTGTAAAACAAACAGAAATTACAGATATAGCCTGGTCCATGACCAACGAATTTCTAGCAAGTACGTCTCTAGATGGAAATATATGTTTATGGGATGTTGGAGAAGCTAAGTTGGCACGAGAGTATTTAAGTACGGAGCTGAAACTTGGCCCACTATTGACGTGCGCTTTCCAACCCGCAAACAATAACATTTTCGCCGTTGGTAGCGTTACTGGAATTATTCAGGTAAATCAATTAGTTAAATAGTCTAACTTATGTCCTTAGAATACACCAGTATTCTTTATAGGCAGAAATATTTAGGAGGGTTCTGTGTATTTACTACCGAAAAGTAGTAGGCTTATCAAAAGACTACAATTTCCCAACAATATCTTCAGTGTTCCTTAAATGGTGTGAATTTGGATAAACGTTATCGTTACATTTATGCAGAATAGCAATTACACTAGTTGAAAGATAAATTATTTCACCTTAATAAATTGAATGTTATGTGCTTAGGTCTTAAAGAGGTCGTCTCTAAATAAAATAAGTAGTTAAAGTACGTTTTCGTGAATTCCTCCCCATGTTTGTATTTAGGAATTCTCACCGTTAGCTACCTGACTAAGTGCTTGTTCGTCATGAATAATCACAATACCGTATATATACTAGACGAATAATTCACTATTATATAAAATAAAGGTGTGCATTCATCCTATCTTTACCCTAGATCCGTAGTCTCGAAATTTTTTTATACTTTTTATTCAGCAACTACACTTTCCTGGGACAGTACCTCGTATCTAATATTCTTCCGTGTCACTGATACTACTACTTGGCTACTGATCTTGCTGCACTGTACAGTATGGCAACTTGAATCGATACATATTCGCACCAGGTTCTATGTTGTTTATGACTGACTGACTTTGTGTTTAAAATAACACCTCCTCACAGATTGATCCTCGTACTTATTTATACGTTGCTCAAATGTTGATAATGTAAACTACAGAATTGCATATTGTTATCTCCGCACACATACCTAGACTATTTAATCAGTTTTTTTTTTAACTGAACAGCGACTCTATCCTAGTTGTCTTGCTGTAGTCAGTTGTTGGTTTATCTCACTTATCAAAGCTGTTGATATCCGTCGATTCGCTTGCACTATTTGGGACTCATATGTATTCGGTGAATTTTGTAGTAGATAATATGTCGAATACTATGCTTTTGTCTTTTTCCTACGTAGGACACTGCATTTAAGTTGTTATCGGAACGCAATCGTGTCACTCTTGCGTTTTGTGTGAAGCTTCTTCATGTTTATTTGTACGCATGTCATTTAGTGAGCCCTAAAGATTATTTTTGTTACTCACATTTTCAAAGGTCAAACATTCCTTCAATTTTTCGAAACCTGTCTGTACTACGCCACACCCTTTCTCGTGTTATTTTTAGATGGTGAATCTTTCTACGGGTAAGACCTGTGTTAGAGGCATGGACCGTATTCACGTAGCTGCTCGAGGTAGCAAAACTCGTCTAAATTCGTCAGTCACTGAGCTACGGGGTTTTTTGGGTACAGGATGTATTACAACTTTGGCTTTTGAAAATGCGACAGGCAATTACTTGTGGGTAGGAACTGATCGAGGCATAATCCAGTCCTATTTATGTGAACCATCAACAGGCTTTATCATCAGATCACAACGTGTCGATATATCGTCGCTGAATCTGTCTGTCGTTCCAACCTGCCCTGAGAACGGAATAAAACTTAATAATTTATTGTACGAACGACCGCCAAGTACTCGAAAAACCTATTTCCTGTCTAAAGCAGATCAAAGTTTCAAAAGGTGGAGCAGTCTGAAGAGCCGAGCACGTACGCATAATGCGATAGATAAGTTACACAGCAATGGAGGTTCATCGTTAGCGCCGAGCATAACTAGTCTTTCGATATACTCATGGCTATCCAAAGAAAAAAGTGAAACATATTTATTGATCAATGCAGCTGGTATCGGGTTATTGCTGCTTCGACTAACATTAGATAATAGGAACGTGATTCTGGAGCAAAGGTTTCCTGTGCATCATCGTTCTTTCAATTCCGTCCCAAAAACACTTCGTCTTATTCATTCATGTTTTGCACCACTCATATCATTCCGTTCTGGAGCTTGTGCTGCGAGTGGAAGTGAAGATTGCAATGTATACCTATATAATGTGTTGAGAAGTCGTAATGCAGACCCCGCAACAGGAAACAGTTCCTCTCACAATAAACAAACGTCCACGGGTGTTGTCACCATTTTACAGGGACATACAGCTCCAGTGCTAGATGTAGCGATCAGTTGGGACGAGAATATGTTAGCGTCAGCAGATGAGAAGGGTTCAGTAATTATATGGAGAAGACAAGAAAAATCCGACACAAGTTGAGAATGAACTCCTCCCTTAAGATTAAAACTAGTTTTACTTGGGATGTAATTACACTTCGATCTACGTGCTTTTTAAAACTAACTTTAATTTCCTGAATTCCTAATTTTCTCGTTTTGTTCTACACATGTAAATATATGTATTGCTACGCAGTGGCATTCATTTATCTGACTCTTAAGCCTTTGGGTTGCACTCACTTGACTTCTTACTGGTGTACTAGTGCCACTGTAGGCCTACTTCCAACAACCTCAGCGAACAGCATTAAGAACCGTTTGCAAGTCTCATGCTTCAAACTTGAGTACACTGTCTTTACGAGTATCTGCTGAAAAGCTACTGATCTAGTCCGTGCATTTAGGCAGATCATAGTAAAGAATTACTCTAGCTTAAACTCAACTCATTATTAATAAACTAATGTAGCCTATACTCCATAAGCACTTCTCGACTAGTGATTCGCAAACTACCCATAGGTTGCAGACTGGAGAACAACGCTTTGATGATACACGAACGTACCTCCACATAGAATTGGCCCATGTGAGACTGGTCAAATGGGTTTGTAGCACGGCAACAAGGTCCCAGCCTTCCTAAGCTATTCGGTGTTTATACTGTCCAAGTGAGGGCCAAAACAACGCGCATCGTCGAAGCGAGTAAACCAGGCCTGTGCCCGGACGAGTGATCACGAAGCAATAATGAATTATATGGCGTCCTACTTGCAGAACCTAATGTTACACTTTAACTGCTATACCTCACGCTAAGCAGCTGAACAACTGATAAACCTGGCCATCCGCTCGTATTAGAAACTAAAACGTCGCCCACGCTAACTTGTGACCCCACAAAAGGAACATAAGAGCCGCCTGCTTTGCCATTGTCACCTTAGTTCATTTAAGACTGATCACGCTAAAATGCGCCATCAATTCTCCCGAATAAGCAACCCGACGAAGACTTTTATGCTAATTTCTGATCAGTATACCGACGTCTGCACGATTTTGAGCTGAATGGTTTGGCTAATGAGCTTTTAATGTTCCTCTTAGCATCAGTACACATTCTCGATAGGAAAAGTGTGTTTAACCGGAGCCATACATGCAGGAAACATTCCACCACTATCTAGAACTGACATCGACCATATAGGTAGAAATAACTGAGACAAATCAGTGACCTAACCATCCGATTCAGAGAACACAAACATATCCACACGGCCTCGGTTCTCATGTTTTGATCACCACGAACCACTAAACACAATGTTCTATGATCCAAGAAGCACTACTACTATAGATTTCCGATGACTTAACCGTCATCCAAATTCAACGGTGGTAAGTGACAATACATTCACTAAGACCATACAGCAGAGCTGTGTGCAAACCTAGGTTGCTGTCAACAGACGTGCAGTTTAGGGCTTATCCAAGCAATGATATGGGAGTGCAATATTTGTACACTTATAGTCAGCACAAGTCGGGCAGCAACAACACGTATAGCCAGAGACTTCGGTTCGGTCAATGTACACATTCTCGCTCGGAAAAATCAGTCCGCAGTACAAACCCAAATCGAGTATTCGGAAAAAAGTATAACTATTTAGATAGCTCTTAATTTCTTGGGTTATCACAAGAACCCACCAGCCTTACACTCAACTTTTCTGGAAGCAAAGACTCGAACAAACCTCTTAATCTCAATAATAAGCACACGTAGTTAGGTTGCTTAGCCTCTTGCGTGTTAAGCAACAGCGACGGCACCGACTTCACGAGACGAGACCAAAACTAATATTGGATGAACTTAATTTTCCACATTTATACCGTTGGTTCTAAATCAAGAAAGCGTGTGATAAATCAATAACCCCAGGGACTGATTGGTGTCAAAATATTGCATTAAACTAGTATTTTAGTACCGACTTCATAGTACATCAGTAATTGTTTGTTTAGATTTTTTTTATTCGGCGAAATGTACATAGCGTTTGGGTTTTTTACAGCTCTGCCTGAGCGCGTTAAGCAAGTAGGTTTGATACTCAGTTTTTCTTCCATGTCTGCTGTAGTGGTGGTTGCTGGACGGGGTTGGTTCAGTGAAGTAGTATGTTCTTTGTCGTGCTGTGCTTCGTAGAAAGCAGGCTTTATTCTATCGATAGCAATAGTCTCTTTCTTTCCACACTTGTTGATTATGAAGTGTTTGGTCGTTCTTTTAATTACTTGATATGGTCCTTCATAAGGTTGTTTCAATGGCTTTTTAACAGCATCAACTCGAACAAAGACAAATTTGCATGTTTCTAGATTTCTGTTGAGTTGTATTCGATTGTTATGTTCACGAGGCGGTATGGCTTTGATTCGTTGCATGGTTTGCAGCAGTTGGCTAGCAAAACGACTTGGGTCCGTTGGTGTTAAAGTGTTTGGGTCCACTAGTTGACCTGGTAATGTAAGGGTTGTACCGTAAACTAGCTCAGCGGCTGTACAACCTATATCTTCCTTTATAGTTGAACGGATACCCAGGAGTACAAGTGGTAATGCGTCACTCCATTTTGTCGTATCATCTTGTGCCATCAGCGAGCTTTTCAATTGGCGGTGAAATCTTTCGACCAAGCCGTTAGCTGCTGGGTGGTAGGCTGTTGTTTTGATGTGGTTCACGCCCAGAAGTCTTGTGAATTCCTGAAATAAAATAGACTGAAACTGGGGACCACGGTCGGTAGTGACGATAGAAGGTACTCCGTAATTCGCTATCCAACGGTCAAGGAATACGCCGGCTACTGTTTCTGCAGAAGTATCAGCAATAGGGCATGCTATGGCCCATCTTGTGAACCTGTCCACCGCAGTGAGAATGTGCGTGAATGAATTAGATGGTGGCAATGGACCAACTATGTCTAAGTGGATATGTTGAAAACGTTTTTCCGGCAGGGGATACTTGCCAACTGGACTGATCGTGTGCTTCTGAATCTTGCTGCGTTGACACTGTAGGCAGCTTCGCGTCCATCGTTTTATATCTGAATTGATTTTTGGCCACACAAAACGCTCAGTAACCAATTTGATTGTGGCTCTGATTCCTGGGTGAGAAAGGTCATGCAGTTGACGAAATACCTGTCGACGACATGCTAGTGGTACGAAAGGGCGATTGTTACCCGTTGAAACATCGCAAATGATAGATGTATTTGAGAAAGGGATGGGTACTGGTTTAAGGTTCAAGTTAGACTTCTCCTGGCAGACCTTCAAATCTGCATCGTCCACTTGTAGTTTTGCGATGGTTTCTAGATCGATGTCTTGTTTACGTAACAGGGTATTTACGTCCTTACGTGACAATGCGTCAGCTACGACGTTGGTATTTCCTTTGACAAATTGGATATCTGTCGTAAACTGGGAGATGTAATCCAGTTGTCGTGCTTCGCGAGGTGAATGTCGGTCGTACGATGTGTGGAATGAGTAACATAAAGGTTTGTGATCGGTCATGATGGTGAAAGTTCGTCCTTGTAGTAAGAAGTTAAAGTGTTTAACGGCTAAGTAGATAGCAAGTAACTCCCGTCCAAAAGTACTATAGCGTTCCTGGGCTGGTGACAGTCTTTTGGAGAAAAACGCTATGGGAGTAGTCATATTGTTTACCTGTTGTTGTAATACCGCCCCGACGGCTTTCTGAGATGCATCCGTACACAGAATTAAGTGGGTTGTGGGGTCAGTATTTAGATGTTGTAGCATGGTGGCATTAGCTATCATCGACTTTGCTTTTTCAAACGCTGTTTTGGCATCAAGAGATAGGTTGAATGTTTGATTCTTCTCTCTCTTCGTACCTTTTTTGTCGGCTTTCAACAGATCGGTTAATGGCTGTAATACTTCAGCACAACGTGGTAAGAAGCGGCGATAAAAATTACACATACCGAGGAAGCGTCGTAATGACTTAACCGAGGTTGGTTCGGGGTAGTTAGTAATATCCTCAACTTTCGTCTGAAGTGGTTTGATCCCTTGTGAGTCGATGTAATGTCCCAAAAACTCTAAGGCTGGGACTGCGAATATGCATTTCGAAGGATTGATGACGACGCCATGTTTTTTAAAACGATCAAAAAGGATCTGGACATGTTGGATATGCTCTTCTAAAGATGAGCTTGCAATCAGAACATCGTCGATGTAGGCAAACACGAAATCAAGGCCTCTTGTTACGTTATCCATGAAGCGTTGGAATGTCTGCGCAGCGTTTTTTAATCCGAATGGCATCCTTAGAAACTCAAACAAACCAAAAGGTGTTATTATGGCTGTTTTCTCAATGTCTTCCGGTGCCATTGGAATTTGATGGTATGCGCGCACGAGGTCGAGTTTGGAGAAAATACATTTACCGTGTAGGTTTAATGAAAAATCGTGTATATGCGGAATCGGGTACTTGTCAGGAATGGTTTGATTGTTTAATCGTCGATAGTCACCACACGGACGCCAATCTTGGTCCTTCTTTGGTACCATGTGTAACGGCGAGGCCCAAGGGCTGTTGGATGGTCTGATAATACCAAGTTGCATCATATGTTCGAATTCTCTTTTAGCTACTTGCAACTTGCTTGGTGGTAGTCTCCTCGCCCTGGCGCTAATAGGTGGTCCAGTGGTAGTGATATGGTGTTGTACCAGCTGTGGGTTACCTTCCTTTTGGTAATCTGATTTCGTAATGCACTGGTATTCTGTTAGAATGTCGTTGAAAACGTTGTTCGCAGGCTTCATTATCCGTACACCATGGATTTCACAGTCGTTGGAAGGTGTACCTTCTACCTGTAAACGTGTATTTGCGTCGATTAATCTCTTCTTGGTCATATCTACTAACAAATTGTAGGCACTGAGGAAATCAGCTCCGAGAATGGGTCGTTTGACTTGAGCAACTATGAATACCCATGTGAATCTTCTGCGGAGCCCGAGATCTAATATAAGAGATTGCTCTCCGTAAGTTTTGATAACTGATTCGTTAGCCGCTACTAAGGACAATTTAGTGCTTGTCGTATGTTGTCTGCGTGAGAGATGAAGTGGGATGATGCTGATTTCTGCTCCAGTATCGACTAAGAAGTCTGA